TTTCCTTTCCTTATTATATCTATGCCAAAAGCCGGTAAGCTGTCTGTGTGCATTCTTAATCACCCTGTATTCCATATTTTGTATATGACTGTTACATATTCTGTGTCAATGTTGAATGTTTAGTTTCCCACAAATTTCATGCGGATTGTTTGATATCCCCGGTGTGGCTGCGCTGGAGGTGGATGTTGACAAGATGCCTCCCTACCTAACACCCTCCACCCCGATTACGGGCTCCAAGAGATTGTGAATGGTTGTTGAGGAGGACGGAGTGCACCGTCCTCGTGGCTGTGCTAGGCTCAAAGAGTGGTTCCATTAAATGTGGATCGGACTACCGCTCGACCATCGCTTTGTGTACATCTGGTACGCATGATTTCCTACCTAGATAGAAAGCAATGCTGCTGTTGTGCATGTTGAAGGAATGTGGACCGGCTCCGTTGATGAAAACTGGCTCCTATCCACATGACTCCCCATCTTATTCCTTCGGGTTTACACTGGATACGGGGTGTGTGAATGGATCTGTGGGTGGTGCAGCGCAAACCACCCATGGTATCTCTTTATGCGCAGGCGTCCTGTGATTGCCCCCGTGGAGGCACAATAATAGGCAAACTCGGAACCGGATGCCGCAAGATATATATATACATATATATATATATATATATATATATATATATATATATATATATATCAAACTTAGTGAAGGAGGAGTGTCCCAACAGTGCTAGGAAGTGCACCAGCGGCCCACCGCGGTTATACGCAGCGAACGGTGTGTCCTCTTACATGGGCGTTCTGCGATGGCTAAGTAAGCTACCCCATAATAACTCTTACGCACCTTCAAAAATGAGGAGAATAAGAACGCATGATTCTTATTTTATTTTTACCTAGTTTTACGCTGCATACAACCATGCTGTCTCGTGGATACAACGGAGATTCGGGTGAGCTGGGTGGGATTGTTCCAACGAATCTATCCAGCTGATCACTTCGATTGTTGTTGTCTGCTCACTGCCCACGTCTACCTATCAGTAGTCAGGTCACGGGTGCATGATGCCAAAAGACGAGGGGCACGCGTTGCTTACAGGCTACGAAATGGTAGGATTACTACGCACAAAGTATCGGTAGTACCGGCGGTCAGCTTAACTGCATCGGTTACCGTGAATTGCGTGATTACTATAAGGACGAGATTAAGTGAGCTAGTACAAAGGTCTTCTCAAGTATTGCTACCTAACCATATCTTAAAATTAACAGTGGAATTAGATGGGAACCTCGAGCTCACAGATAGAACACTAGTTCCCAGCGAGCATTCACCTTCCTGCAGGTGCATTTGTGATTTGTAAGCTGGTACTGCGTATGAAATAAATACGAGTCCAAAAGGAACTGACCAAGTCCTTCATATACATCATCATGCCGAAAATGTACCAACCTGGGTGCATGAAGCCTACTTTGACTTGGCTTGCAGTCCATGGCTGGATTCTACCCTGTTCGGGTCATTTGAATTGTGGCAGTCGAAGCTGAGGCTCAAATGTGGTCACTGTTGGCTGGAAATTTTGATCACCAAGCTGTCCAATAGTCTAGGCAGCGCTGGTTGTGAGACATTAGAATACGCTGATCCATGACCAACTTCTATCACATTGCCATAACACTCAGACCTGCGGATTGCTTAGTGAGACAGTCACTTAAGAAGAGTACTATTCAGTTCAGTTGTTTATGGGTGGTGTGTGCAAATACCCTAAGTCTTTCCCACTCTAGATACTCGTAATCGATAGCAAATCACCAGCAACTCGATGTCAATTTTCCCCTTTTTGTGGAGTCTCGTCGTGGTCAGACTCCGTCAGATAGCCACACAAATCTGGCAAAGCGGTAGGCAGCAGCTTTACCCTATTGGATCTCGTTCCTGGAACGTATGTACCGCATTGTGGCGCGTCCAAACTTATGTCATTCACTCTAACGAACCGGCGAATTAAACCAGCCAGCTATAGTCGACTGTAACGGATCATCGTGAATGCGACATGTCACGGCTCTAACAGCTTCGGCTGCCAGAACAGAGGAACGTGCAGAAACTAGTTGGCATTGCGTAGCTTCAATGGGCAGTCTGCGGATTTCGAAGGATCCACATGACACACAACTGGAGGTTCAACTAAGCATCCCACGCTGGTAGCCAGCGAGCATTTCGACTGCGCCACTGCACCCTGCATTCGAACGACTCTTCCTGCTCACCTACGTGGGCTGCAGCTATACAGACGAACCTAGTTAGTGCTACTTCAACAACCAACCTGGTTGGATTGAAGTGAGGATACCAGAATTAAACTACCACCCAGGTGGGTAAGGTGACCAGAGGTGTGACTCCATAACTGGGCAATCGATACTTTTGAGCACTGCGGCCCTGGCGATTGGCGCGACCGCGTCTCACTCCGACACGATACAAAGTGCCCTTCAACCTGTCTGTTACCCAAGTCACCTAGCGAACAAGCCAATTTAGCACACGTTACACGCGATCATAGCTCTCCAGGAGCAGACGACATCCGCCCAAAAACGCTGAAGTCTGCAGCCACCAGGCCAGCTGAATCATTGTCACAGTCTTCCCAAAGGTGTTTCGATGAACAGCAAGTCCACACTATGTGGAAGCGTGGCATTAGAACCCAAATTTTTTCAAGGCAGTAGCCGTTCAGACTCTACAACTCATTGCCCAGTGACTCTCCTCCCTTTGTTCACGAAAGTGATGGAAGCGATCGCCGCTGAGGCTCTAATGGACCATTTGGAAAAATGCAACCTCTTGGGACCGGAGCAGCATGGCTTCCGTCAAGACCAGTCATGCACCACCAACCTGCTGATTGCACTAGGTAGTTGGACGGAAGTGGTTGATGATGGGGCTGGACTCGACGTCATCTAGCTGGACTTCTCCATAGTTTTCGACCTATTAGATCACCGCATGCTAGTACGGAATCGGAGATCCTGTTCTTGATTGGAATGCCAACTTTCGTCAACAACGGAGGCTTCAAGTGCGTGTTGGGTGATCACTCCCCAACTCGACTGGAGTGGAATGTAGTGCTCCACAAGGCTCGGTGCTGGGACCGCGTCGGTTCTCTGTGTCTACCAACCATCTCAACTTTCCTGATTTTCCCCGATGATGCCAAGATAAGACGGACGATTAATAAATTGGAAGATCACGACCTACTCCAAGATGAAGAAGATTGCATTTATGAATGCTCAACGAGGAACCTACTTCAGTTGAACACGGCTAAGTGCAAAGTGGTCCATCTGCGTCACCAGCCGCTGTGCACTTACAAGGTTGGAGACCACACCTTGCAGAAGGTCTCTCAGGAGCGTGACCTGGGTGTACTGGTACAGGAAGATCTCGGATGCTCAAAACAAGCAGAGAAGGCGTCAAGAACTGGCAATAATCACTTCGGCCTTCTTCACAAAGTGTTCAATCGGTTTGACTGCTCCATCTTCCCCCTAATGTTTAACGCCTACGTGCGACCGCATGTGGAATATGCTCTCCAGGCGTGGCAGCCGTGGCAGAAACAGGATCTCGTTGCTCTCGAGATTCCTCAACGAAGGACAATCAAGTACGTCGGGGGCCTCTGTCATCTGCCCTAGGAACTTGGACTGGTCTTTAAGAATCTACAGCAGCCGATATCGACGTTTCTGGGGGAATCTGATAATGGTTTACCAGATTCCGAAGAACCAAAATCACATTTGCCGTCTGCTGCTGGAATTGAACCACAACACTAACATAAGAGGTCCTCCTCTGAAATCGACAAAACAGGATAGCGGGCCTGAATGCCGTAGAAATTTCTTTTCCATCTGACCTCCCTACTTGTGTCCTCTCTGCTCCCAATCTGGCGATATTTAAAAAGCGAGTTGAAGATGCGTTGTCTCATTTACACTTCCTTTTATGAATGATTAGCCAGGGGCTACAAAACGCAATCCAACGGTGTCTTGCCAAACTCCCAACCAATGAATTTATGGATTTATACGTTTAATAGGCGAACGTCTCCGCTATTCTACCTAAGTCTATGGTGTCAACGAAAACGCTTTCCACTTTATTACGAATTTTTAGTTTCGCCGTAATTTCCATCCCATAGGAATTATTCAGCATTGCTTTTTTACCTGTAGTACACCATCGTTCCATGGTTCCATAGTTATTTTCGATTAGTCATAAAGTTGATTACGAATTGGTAAGCACATTAGTGAGGTCCATCAGAAAATGAGTAAGCTTTCTGCCAGTGTATATTAGAATAGAAGCTGAAAATCGAACTACAACCGTTCCTGACCTCACGGGGTCATAACTCCTCATTCGGGTGGGATAAAGACGCCGTATTTTCGTAATCCGGTACTTACAGCGCAGAGTCACTGCGCTGTTACAGGGGGTCGTATTCATCCCGCAGGATGGTTCCATTGAGAATGGAAACAAAACCTCTGGAATAAGGTTGTTCCAAATCGATCACATCATATAGTGACAAGATACCATGGTCCTCCGTATAACTTCATACTTAGTCTCGGGTACAAACAAGTCACCAAAGCTTGTGCCCTGGAAGGCGTCATCAGGTTAGTGTGTATGTGATGTACAGTAGATTTCCCACATCTTATGCGGTACACGTTTCGGTCCTATCTAAATCATGCAAGCCAAATCCAGCGCTTTACACCCAGTCAGAAGGTAACCGGATTTAAACAAGCAAACGAGTTGCGAAATTGACCTTATCTTTACTCAGTAAACTGGCATGGAAAGTCTATGACACCATGAGAAACCGGATTCGCTACCCTGTAGACTCCTACACATGTGTGGCCTTCTTTCGACAATAAAAACCTCCCGTTTGTTAGGGTGAGCAAATGATAAAAGCTATACACAACTAATGTTAAACGCGTGATTCATCAGTGATTCGGCCAGCGGAACCAGATACCCAATTCTGAAAATTGGCGATCAAGTATAAAAAGTGCATCTTTAACGGACTACGGCATGGGTTACCACACAGGTTGCCTCAACCCTGATTACATTTACTCACTCGCTCATCTTGTATCGACCAAGCCAGCTGGGAGGGCGTTTGTAATGGTACACGTGATACGTCCATCTTCGTCACGTTGGGTTAAATTCCGGAAGCTGGCGTACTGATGATGTGGTGGCGTTACGACAACGCAGTGGGACACGATGCCGTCCGATCAGCTTGTTCTAACGGGGCAAATGAAGATTGCAGTCCTCGATGAAGCTGTTGGGATTGGGACGGTGGTTTGAAACCACGCGTTGCGCGCCACAATTTGATAGGGTCGAAGTGTGAATGGATGCTGATCGAGTAGTTAATGTGTGGACGAACCAGTGAACCCTGTGCATACGCGCGCGCACACGCGAATTCGCTGATGTGTAGCCGTTCAGCTGCGCACATGAGTAGGCGCACGAACGCACACACGAAGGCCCGGACACACGCTCACATGGGAAGCAAACAGAACGTGGACTTCCTGTACGAACTGCAGTTTGACCAGTTCGCACTCCGAGGCGAGTTCCGGCAGAAAAGAAGGCACAACGCAGACAAAATGCAGACTGCTCCGTTTCGATTTGTTAAGACTAGAATGAGTTGAACGACTGACAGCGAAACGAGCCGCATTCAAAGGGTGAGGGGTGGGTGCGTAGGCGTACCTGTGTGGAAGGGGTGACACCAGACAAGCGACAGTGAGTGAGCGACATTCACACCATAGCTGCAGTTTGATTGGTTCACTCACTAATGGCTGCGCGAATCGACCGCTAGTTCGGGAGGGGAGAAACCAACGGTAGCAGCTGGAAGCTACCTTGATCCGATAAACACCGGGTCATTCGGTTTATTGAGTCAACTCGTTGGCCTTGGGAACCCATGATTAAAGGTGCTAGAAAGCCTCTCAGAAAAGGGACCATGCATAACATAGGTCATCAGCGGTTTCTCATACTGCTTACCAGGTTACATCTGATCATTCTGGACTGTTAGTTCCGAATTTATTCTGAAAAAGACTTCCGAAATCTTGCAATAATTTTCAAGAGACCAAACCTAATAGATCTAGTGGGCCTTAGCTAAAGACGATGGCTGGTTGCCACTGCCACCTATTTTGGCCAACTTCCACTGTTTTACATAATAATCGTTAAAGCGTCACTCCAGTATTTTGCGTTGCAGGTGAACTAGACAGTTGAACTTTGTATCAAAATGTCTCAACGGTTGGGATCGCAAAACCTTGACAGGTTATCCCCGGTCTGAAATTCTACCGTCGTTATGTAGACGATATATTTTGAATAGCTGCTCTGAACATCAACCCGCAACAGGTAGTCGGTGGTTTCAACAAAGCCCATCCGAATACCACATTTACGGCTGAGAACGAAAATAACAATCAGATGACTTTTTAAATGCAAGTCTCATCTGAAGGAACTACGGATTAATCCGAGTAAAAGTATCCATGAAGCCGTATTGGACGGGGCAATACACGAACTTCCACAGCTTCGTCCCACTCATCCACAAAAGGACGTTGGTACGAACCGTAACTGATCGGGTAAACAAAATGTGCAGCGATGACAACATTGAAGACGAACTCAAACAAACCAGATACACTTTTGGAGAACGGCTATCCAGAACGCTTTATTGATTCCCACATGAGGCGAAGTATACCAAAAGTGCAGAAACTGCCACAAAGAAATAAACTTTCCTGACTACTGAAGACTACTGAAGAAATGAAGTTTCCTGAATAGTGTAGCTGAGATTTTCACAAAAGTGCAAAAAATTCCTTTAAGGAGGCTCGGCTAAAAGTGGCTTTCAGAAGCAGACCTTTACTAGTTCCTGGGTTCAAAGACCGAGTGCTTGATCATCTCCAATCAATCTTAATCTATCGATTCAACTGCCCGTGTGGGACTAGGTACGTTGGACACTCAACAAGGTATTTAGGTAAGAGAATCAAGGAACATCTCCCAATTCGGGTTTTCACTCACGAACAGAGGTCAAGTAACGGCGCAATTACAAGCCATCTAATCAACTACGGTCACCTGGTCGACAAATATAATGCCTTCCAGATTCTATCCAGAATACCGCCTGTGTATAGCCGTCGACTAAGAGTAAGTCTGCTTGCCACAGCGGAAGCAGTATGCTTACGGCTAACCTGCTCCAACCTGTGCGTTCAGCAGGATATGGTACACACATTGCAGCAGCTGTGGCCGACCATCAGACAGGAAGGTATTGACTGCACTCCGCGAACCCACCTGACCTCACTCATGCGATTAAATGATTGGCATCATGATCAAAAGTTAACTTATCTAATCCATTGATTCTTTGTTATACGGATAATTACAACAAGTCTTATCCGACCGTATATTAATGTACAAGTTTGAGGATGAATTAATCGAAAACAACGGTTTGCTTGAAGCGTCTTCCTTTATTGAGCTTTTCTTGCTGGAACAGTTGTGCGGCAGACATCCACGTATTGTGAAAAGCCTCGAGAATTAATTTTGAGTCAATATCTACCACTGCGGTAGAAACGGAGTTGGGCTGTTGTTTGTCCTTAATCAGCTTCAAGCTAGCTTCCCACACCGAAGTGACCAAGGTACCGGTCAACGGGGAATCGCGTTCCCCATTGAACTTGCGTGTCGCAATCCATTCACACAACGGGAGCCATAAAATTACTCCTTCAATCAGTCACTAACCGTTGTAGTTAGGGTTGCTCCCCGTGATTAGGTGATTTAGAGGTAGTAGTGAACACTGCCTTAACTGACTCAACTATCTTACACCGCAGCAAATTTCTGGAGTTCAGTGACAAAGACCGATCTGACTCGCAGCGAAATCCTCATTAGGATTTCGCCAAACACTACCACAAAACTTTCACGGATTTCTCCTTGAACGATCATTTAAATGTATATCTTCAGCATGCAAGTTTGCAGGTACGTAGATCGAACAATGAGATAAAGCACTAGTAGTTAGGTGGGGATCACACTGTGGTCGAGACATCACCTCAACAGAAGGTAGGGTTAATCTTGCGCATTTTTTGGTATTTTTTTTAGAGATTTGGCATAGAGGGAGATGTGTTATTCAATTTTAACGAAAGGCAGTAGGTTAAAAAAGTATAAGCGGTCCAAACAATAAACATTCAATTAACGGTCTGTACAAGAACCGTTCGTCCTTTATCTTGTAACTTGCACTAAGGATATATTAGGTTGTCCCGAAATTTTATATGGGTATATACGGGGTCACACTGGAGCAATATTCTAACGTTGTCCATTTATTCTACATTTTAGCAATGGCTGCGGTATTGGCTATTGATTAACATGTTGTTCGCGGATGCTTATTGTACGAGTACCTACAAGGACGCAGAGCAATCGAAGCTTGTCGGTACATGCGTGGCGTACTAGGCACGGATGCTCCGAGTTACGGTATAGTGGCATTTTGGTACCGCCGTAGGCAACTACGATTGGTCCAACGTCGGAAGTCAAGGACGTAAGCCGATGGACATTGACAGCAGTATCCAGGACGTTCCAAGTTAAGATCCGAGTCAAAGTGTGCGTGAAGTCTCGTCACACCTCGGCCTTCCAAAAACCACCGTTCATCGCCATCTGCGCCAATCCGGAATGCTCCCAAAGCTCGGACTGATGAGCAACTGCTGAACCGTTGTGCCATCGCATTTTCATTGCTCACGCGAGGACGCAATCATCGATGACTGAACGATATGGTTACTGAAGACGAGGGGTGGGTGCTTCACATCAAGCATAGCGTCCAAAAGCTACCTGAATCATTCTCCTGCATGACAACACGCGTCCATAGGTGGCAAAAATGACGCATCTCAAAATTCACCAGCTCGATATCGAAACTCTTATACATCCAGTATATAGCACGGATCTTGCTCCTAGTGATTACCGCCTTTTCCACTCGATGCAAAATCACGTCAAGGACAGGAGATTCCTTGACCGCAAGCAAATCGAAACAATACGTTGACAGCCAGCCCAGTTCGTCCTACGAGAGAAGCATCGACAAGTTGTCTGAGCGTTGGCATTACGTCGTCGATAACAATGGATGTTACGTTGATTAAATATTGGTGCTTGTTTGAAACAAATATTGCTTGAAAAAGTGTGCCAACAACTGCATTGATTTCGGGACAGTCTAATAATTATGCTATTGCACTCCATCTGTTAGCTCATCGGAGATGAATATCCCGCCGGAGAAAGTTTTCACATATGGTTTTATAGAGCTTCTTCAATACGGAGCATGAATTAAACAGTGTAACAACATGTTAAGGAGACCCGAATTACCTGGACGCACGTATCAGAAAAATCCCGGGGGACTTCGACCCAAGCGCCACAAACCCAATGCAAGGTTGACGCTATTTGCTCACGTTCAGAGATGAACAGAATCAAGTGAAGAACCAAGAGATCCTCCCAAACTGCATGATCCTCCACCGTCACCTTTAGAACGGAAGCAATGACACACCCTGCGTGATAATTAAAAGTCTTCTCTTTCCATGCACACTTTATCCGGTCCACCAGAGCGACTACCACCTCAGTCAAAATTAAGCATTGGCGTTTATGCATAACCAAATTCGGGTTACCGTGCCCCTGACACGTAGAATAATTGGCTCACTAAGGATGTGGCATCCGATAAGTGACCAGTGCTGATGGTATAGCCGAATATTCCATCCCCTCATGAACGCATAAAGAACATACTTGACTTGGCATTTTCACACACGCTAACGTGTAGAAAATGGTTGAAACTGATGCGTTGTGAGAAATACTTACTTTTGTCCGTCCAATGAGTGACGTAGTGTCAACTCAACGAACAAGTCGATAAGCGAACTTGTTGGACAGCGTGCTGGCTATTTTCAGATGGCTGACAATGACTTGGAGCCAGTTGATCTAATTTCACTGTTCTAATACGAATACGAATAATAGTAATGATGATAATTTATATTTTCGGCTCTACTAGACATGATCAGGGTTTCACAATCATGTTACTCTATCACAATCACAGAAGGGAACATATGCATCAAAATAGTGAAAGGGCCGTAGAGAAAAAGAAAAGACGGTCAGACTCTCAGTTAAAGTAATACGGCCATTCGTACAACGGTAACCGAACTAAAGTGTTATCTCTTCGAGTTTAGTTTTAACCAGCTGCTAGTAGATCTGGTCCCTACTCTTAAGCCACTGTTGGGGTTAGTTCTCACTGGAATCGAGCATGTGTCATCCAAGTGCTAACTATAAGCCAGTGGCCCAGGAAAGTGAAGCGCAATTGGAGTTCCATCCACACTCATAAACTCGCCAACCGATTTGGGACCGGGACCGTTGTTTCGAACGCCCTCGTCACGCATGGACGCCAAGTGATGATCCAACACGCTAATCACCAATTGTCACATTGCGATGGCGATTTCCTCCCTCCCGTTGAATCCTGTGCAGATCGCATCAACAGTTCAATCCACCTGGCCATGGGAGCGGGGAAATGATGCCCAGTTGCCGAAGAATTCCCGGATGCGGGCTGCGCACGAGGCTTTGACTTAGATCGGAGCTGATAAGCACACACTGACTGGCCGATACCTTTGACTTGGACAGTTGGCTACACTTAA